ATCTTAAACACGTTTGATAACTTTCGTTTCTCGATTACTATGAATCATCAAATAGTGCAATTAATATTAAAAATTAACACAAAATTAAGCAGCTACTATATGATAGCAGAATAGAGAAGGGCCTATGTTGCAATAACTTCACGGTGTGAGAAATTTTTATGATTTTTTTTACAATCCGAGACCAGGAGATACGCCTTCCATTGAATAATGAAACCCTGGATCCAAGCCAACACTAGCCTTATGATCGAGATCAAATGATTTAATTGTTTTGGAGCAATGAATAAATCTAATGACCCATGTATTTTAAATGTCAACAAATTTGTCAAGCTGGTACCCTACAATGATTATAACTGTATAAAAACAATTTTAATCATCTGTATGTATAGTACAGTACCTATATGGTACCACTTGGTAAAAATTGACTAAAAAAAAAAGAAGAAAAATAAAAGAAGTGACAGCAACACTAAATAAACTAAAAACTGTCTCCTCTGGGCATAGTCGGGCATCGCTCAAAATCTCCTGAAAGTTGTTCAAGGAATGGATGGAAAAATGATAATTTAAGGGTTTCAAAGGCTTTAACCAATTTAAGTCTACCAAACTGTTTCTCCTCGACGGGGCCCAACTCTCCTTGACTGGGGGATCTGACCCCTTCTGCTGGTGTCAACCCTTACTTACATCAATAATACAATAAAACTAATAAATTTTCCAAAAAAATTTTAACATTAATAACAATATGAATAAAACATATTTTTTAATGGTCAAAATATTCTACCAGCTTGAAAATATGCTGGTGGTGGTGATGCTGATGATGATGGTGATACAGTATAATGACTGGATGTTGATGGGGATTAATGTATTATGATGATGATGATGAATGTTACTGATGACGTTTGATGAATGTTGACTATTATGATTGATGTGCAATAAGATGACAATATAAAACCATGCTAATTATTTCATTTCTAATTTATGTTTTTTTTCTTACATAAAAAGAGTTAGTATTAAAAAAAAAATGATGTTGATAATTATTATAGGCAGCAGCGTGGATTGGGTGATGGGGCCTAATATGTGAAAGAATCGAATGCATGACTGGGGTAAATGAGAAGACATCTCTGTTTAATAATTAAGATATCTTAAATATATAAAAAGTGTAAAATACATTTGTCATTCAGTTAATTCAAAACATGAAACTCTAGTTTCTAGTACAACAATGGATTGGAAGTAGTCAGAATTCATGGGCTAGTGATTTTGAAAGAAACTGGACTTTCCCTGAACTACAATTATATAAAGGTTAATGATTATAAAAGAAAAAAACAAGATTTCACAATGTTCTGAACAAAAAAGCTGTTAGTTCAGAACAAATCAAATTCATTGGGGAAAATACTGTAGGAATCCAAGGGTCTGAATGATATTATGCAGCTTACAGTAATAAATATTTTTATTTGTATGCATGGGCTCATGTTGTCTAAAATAAAGCATTACATCCAGTAAAGGCAAGACCTTTTGTGCTACATACATGTTTCTCAAACCCATCATTCATCAATAATGATGATGATAAAGTATCTTTGGACATTGTTAGCATTAGTTCACATCAAATACAACATTTACAAGTTTTTATTAATAAACATATCCAATAGCACGACATATTAAACAGGATGCCATAATAAAATACCTATAAATGTTGATTGAATACGAAAACTGAATAATATTTTGGTGAAATAATGTAAAGTAGTTGGATTTATATAATGCTTTATACTGAAACTGTCTCAAAGCGTTCAACTATCTCAACAAAATGCTATAATAAACAATAAGCCAATTTTAATGCAGAGAACAGATAGGATAATGACTAAGAGGTTCCATTCTATAGATCATGGTGGAATGTGAATTACATTATTATTCAATATGAATGAATCATGCATCTCAGGATGGAGAATAGAAATTGATAATGCAATGTCCATTTATATTTTCTTAGACTGCAAGATTTTTGGAATGCATACACTTTGCATTACACAGTGTCCCATAATCATTAGTTAGTAGGCCTATTTTGTGATGGCATTTAAAAACACCAAACAAAAAAAAAATTAAAAAAATCTCCTGACCATATTTTATAGTGTATTGGGCATCAAGACAATATGTGCTTCACCTTAGCAAAACATAACTTTCCTTAAGTTTTTGTAGCTCAATATTTCCAACAATATCAAAAGCACATTCCAAGCAGATTAACAATATACAAAGAAACAAAAAAAGAGAATAAAGACTTCTTAGAAAACATAGCTGAAATAACTGAATTACCAAATATTTTAGAAAATATGACAAATAATAATATAAAATAAAATAAGAACAATTATTTAATAATGAATTATTTTTTTGAATAATTAAGTGTTCAGTTTATTTTATTGTACATAGAATATTTACATAGAAGAATTAGCATGGGAGAGGTTGGCTATGAATAAAAAACAAGTAACTGAAGTATCTTTGCATAGATCATAATTGAAGGAATAGAGTAAAAGGCATACTAGTAGAACATATTAAGGGGACATGTTCTGGGATGAAAAAAGTGTCCCCTTTTTAGGGGTGTCCCCTGAATAGGGGTACTCCTATGCAGCAACACTTAAAACATGAGGACCCAATGACCAGAGAAAAAGAGCTTTATCTACCAAGAAAAGGCTCCTGTATAAATAAATAACAAATAATAATAATAATAAAATGTTGCCAATATTATTTCATGATGCATTGTTAATGACCAAATATTCCTTATTCTATTTAAAATACTGAAATTTCTATTAAAAGAATGCAGCATGATACGACTTAGATTTAATGGCATTTCCTATATGAAAGTACATAAAAAACAAAGGAAACAAAATCCCCATAGTTAAGGGTCAAAATTGACAAGATTGGTTTATATGAAGTAACACATTCAGTAGGCCAATACCGACGTTTACTTAAAGGCTTCAGGGGAGAAAATTTTGGTTGCTCAAAATGTGTTAAAAATATGAAGCTGAATGAATTTTTCTTATTTTGAGACTGCTGTACGTTGTGATACAATGATAAAAAAAATTAAGTGTCCTCTTAACAGGGGTTATCTGACCATTTGGCACACTCAGAAAGTGTCCCCATCCCCTTAATGGGATGACCGCTTAATAGGGGTTGGCCAGTGTTAAAAGATAGGCCTACTGTATATTGCCCCTTGTTTCACAGAAAACTATGTATACCATTATTATGTACAAAAAGGCACATGAAAACATCTATCACTATAATAAGTGCTATTTTTTTATTTCAATGAAACTAATTTATTTCTACTGCTTTTACAGACAAATGTTTTTTTTTGTTTTTTTTTTAACAAAAAAAAAAAAAATGCAGGTCTGTTTTTATTTTTATACAAATTACATAACTTACCAGGTGTCCAGGGTTGTGAAAGCCTACAGCTTAATCATACAATGGACTTGATGATCTATCATAATACTTACCATTAAACACTGACCTTTAAGTACATTATTTAATTTACATGTCTATTGGGCCTTCGTCCTAATAATAGCCAACATTAGGGTCTGTAACAATACAGTAAGCCTATTATACCTGCTAATTTTGAGGTATTCTATGCATGAAAGAAAACCAATACTGTAATCATACTTATTAACAACATTATATAGTATATATAATACTATACCTATGTTATAATTAGGTATGCCATCCAGTATAAACATAATACTGCAGACTGCTCACAAAGTCAATTGCTAAACTACAGTTACAGGCCTCAGCCATGAGCCTGTGTATCAGATAAATTGTACGACGTGCTAAGTATGTTGCCTTGACAATTCATGTTATCCTATAAAAAAGAAGTTATACCAATGTGACATGTGCAGTGGCCCAATACTATTGGAAAATGAACGCACATTCAAAGGGCGATTTTAACATGGCATTAAAATATGAAGGCCAGCTGCTATACCAATGTAAATTATTGAAGTCACTATTGAAATGGGAAAAAAAAGAAAACCACAAAGACATGCTTTATGTTAATTTGTGGTATTCTATGAAAATTGAACAGATTAGCAATGGTAGTTTGAACAAAGGTTCATGGCGGCTAGCAAATTTTATACATTTTGTAAAGTACAAAGAAATAATAATACAAAAACGTTAGGTTAGGTTTGTGAGTTACTGTCTTTCAATAGGCAGTCATATACAACCTATTCATAAACACAACATTTTTATGGTTATTATTGAGATGGCACTTCAGTCAGTGATGGCAACAGGGGTTTGTCAGTGGGGCCCAAGAGGGAGCTGGCTTTCCCAAAAGAATTCGGCCCTGAGACCACTTTTGAGAGGCTCTGACTTGCCTGGCCCACAAACTTATCTCCATTGTCTGAGAAATCGGCCTTCCCATCATCAGGATTAGGCCTATGCTAAAAAGTAATTTGTGAAAACATTTTTTCATGTGCTGTCATAGTGGCTGACAATCAATGGCTAGACTTTAGAGCCCAGACTAGAGAGTAGGCCTAGTTTAGTAATAGTAAGAGGTACACCACCCATCTCGATGACAATCGTAACCAGGAATATAGGCCCTAGCAGCAGGTGAAAAAGCAGCCTTCTTCATTCATCTTTCCATCTTTTGACTTAAAACAACCTGCTAGAATGTCGGTCACAGGTCGAGCGAAATACAAATAAATTGCGAAGGATTATGGAGAACATCCTCAGGATGACATTGAGCCTAGCTTCTACGTAAATATAGAATGCTATGCTGATTAATCGTTTGGTAAAGTTCACTATTGACTCATTGGACTGCTTACTGTACCCACGATGAATACCAAATAATTAGGTGACAAACAGGGAAGCAATTTAAAGGTAGCCTAGACTGACATTCTTGGGCGATCAAATGCACGTTTGCAAAAATGCTTCCACGCCTAACACAAAATTTGCATTTAAATAATTTATACATTCTGAATCTCGTGGGATAATATACAAAGAACTCTTTAAAAATTGTGCAAATTTTGTAATAAACTTACTGCATTGCCTGTGCGATCAAGCCATTCGCAGGTTCTGCCATCTTGAATTGCGTTGATGTGATGCATGCAAGCAATTTACCCAGCACAGTTGGGTTGAAGGTCAATATTTTGTCAGGCCTTGGAAAATAGCGCCCTCACTAGAAATCAATATAAAAGATAGATGCTTGAAGGTCTACATAACAGGTTGGGAAAACCCTACAACCTACTGTAGGCCTTGTGTAAAGTATATTTATAGTTCTTACCTTCCATGAATAGGCAATACAACACAATATATCACTTTTTTCTTATTCTTCTTTATATTATGTTATAGCGTCAGTGATGAAAATCGGGGTGTAAAATGCATTGAAGGATGACGATAAAATTAATAAGATTCTCCAGAAAAAACACTCATAGAATTAATAATATTATTAATAATAATTGAATATCATACATATCGTAGTCACAACTACTGTAAATTAGGTACAGATGAGATTTGTTGGTTTCTTTTTTTTCAAAAATATAGACCTCATTTGACATTTTCTCAGCCTCAGTTTATTCTCATTTTGTTCTTAATTAAGCGATTTCAGCCTCAGTGTTCTTATAAAATGCGTTAAAAAAAGTGTATTTATTATGTAGCTCAATATAATTTTAAACTTCGTTTACAATGTTTTTACACTTTATTCAATGTACATTTTGTTCTAAAATTGTTTTCAATTTTATACAATTATGCGACATCTGTTAGAACTTTTATCAATTTTTTAAAGTTTCCGTAATTTTTATTGATTTTGACCAAATAAATGAAGGAATTATAAAAATTTAAAAATTATGTTATAACTATTTTAAACACTCAGGGTGTTAAAACCGTATGTAATTTTTACGCATTATGTTCTTAAATCAATTAATTAGCTCATTAAATGGTAAGGTGTTTTGGGGTACACCGATTCCCATATGGTGGACACTTGTTTGGTACCGGTAACTATAACAGGTGATTTTCAGCTTTAGACATGTAGATTTTGCCTACAGTGACATCACTGTGAAATAGATTGAATAATACATTTTAGCAGAATTTGTTTTTGTATACGTGCCACATAATATATTATTAGTACGGTAGGCTTGCCTGGGATAGAATGTTGTGTTATGATTTATCGCGTTCAAATAGAGGGCGCAAACCTTTAGTTAAGTATTACTTCGACACAGTGTGTTTAGACCTTATCCTCCAATACAATACACATTATCTAACCTGTTAAATAATGTATACACTTTAGGCATGTTTTTAGAAATACTTTGCTGGAGGAAGGATATAAAAATATAGAGAATGAGTATTAAAAATTGTTTGTTTTAGGTTATTAAAAGGCGCTATCGAAAAAAAAGTGTGACGTAACATTAAAAGTTACATCGCTGAGGTCTCTTTAAAGCAATGTCCACACTATCAAATTTTCTTTGACAAAAAACTGATCTATGCCCATATATAGTCATGATGTGCCTATATATGGTCATGATGTGCCTATATATGGTCATAAAGTAATGTCATCATGACCATATTTAGGCATATGTCACATGTTTTAAATAAAACTTTTAAAAAAATTAAAGATATGTCATGCTTATGAGAGTACATGATACGCAACCAATAATACTGATTCTAAGAAACGTAAGAGAACTGAAACATATCGACTGCATTTGCAATTGAAAAATACTCAATGATGAAGATGTTTATCTCATTGCAAAACAGTACTCCTACTAACAAATCAATTGTATAATCATATTGCAGAGTTATTTGTAGTTTACGTTTAATAAAATCGTCCTTGAAATTTCCAAATAGAATCGAAGTGTAGGCCTACATGGCAATTTCATAATTCGGTAAAATATTAAATTACCTAAAGAAAGTTTGAAAATGTGTAACACAAATTCCCTAATTATATACAATTTCTTAAATATAAATAAAAAATAAATTGATCGAATTATTGTACTCTAATTACTATTAATAACGTTTTTCACCATACTATTATAATAAATTTGTGACATCGAACTAGGTATTTATAGACGTCTAAAAAGGCCAATAAACTGAATTAACCTTAACAAACCAAGGAGATAAGCAAAACATACAAAATGTATTCTGTTAAGAAAGTATTTGGAAGTATAGTTATTAGTATAATTTTGGTTTCTTGCGTGAAGGCTTGCAGACTCGATGGGACTGTGTATAGAATCAATAAAACAAGGGATAAAGTCTATGAAATGATTGCAGAAATCGTAGGTATTTCTCTTTATTAGCGTATATCACGAAGAGTAACTATAGTGTATAATTAGTTTATTAGCGATAGGAGTAAATAATATTGCATAGAAATTAAAATTTCTGTGATAGTTCTTGAAATGGTTATCATCAAACTGACACTATTAAATTAATGCCTACCTTAAAATTTGATAGCGTTCTATAATCTAGATATTATCTATATGGTCATATAGATTGTAATGATAATAACGAGTAATAATGATAATAATAATGCTCTGATATTTTGATTTTCTCACACAACTGATATAGGCCTACGTCTACCGTGTGTGCCTAAGGATGTTTTAGACAGTGGCTATTGTTACACCAATCTTAAATGAATTCCTAATTCTGATGGGATATTATTGTAATATAGTTGGATTCATTTTAACTTGTGTAACAATAGCCACTGCATATTTCTGTTTTAATCCTCAGAATGATTGCGCCCATTTCAACACAAATATAACGCTATTAAATACAGTCGAGGATTGTATGACACAAATCCAAGGAACACACGTGAGTGAAGATTTAACATGATAATGGCCAGTCGCATCACGAAGCGACTATTTATACAGCGCTATATACTTTGCGCTACATTCTCCAAAGTATGTAATAATAACAGAATAGCAAAATAATTGCATTGGTTCAGTGGTGGATCCAGAAATTCGATATAGAGGGGTGCCCATGGAGGGTTTTCACAGATGGAGGGTCCACCATTAACCTCACAACAATGTTGGGGCTGAATTAAGAACATATGATTATGGAACCACTAGATGGACGGAGGTGGCATTCTCAGACATAAATTTGTATATAATTTTCTTTTTTCTCAATTTTTCATAATTTCAAGGAAATTAGAGTACCCGGGCTGGCTGCCCCCCCCCCACCCCATGGTTGTTTGGTTAGTTTTTTTCAATGTGGAACAGGCAATGTCTACGTATAGAGGATATTTTCAGTGTGGAATCCTTCTGGTGGAGAATTTTTCTTTTCTTTTTTTTTTTTAGCCAGAGAGCCAGACTAACATAGGGGCTTTTGTGGCGCCAGCCCCAGGCCCACAGGCCCTAATGTGGTAAAATATGCTACCGAACCCCCAGAACACCGAAAATCTGGTTTTATGTTTTAGTCTCTGAGTATTTAGGCCCACTTGCAATTTCAATTACAGCCCCAGGCCTCACATCCCTTTAATCCGATCCTGTTAAGCCGGGCTCACTGCGTCGTACGACGGTCGTAACGACTGTCGGCCGACGATTCCCCCTTAGTTCCCTATGAGTTCTAAACTAACGGAACGTCCTAAAAAACGATCCGTTGCGAGCGCGTCCCGGAGTTGCGTTCTCCACAGAATCGTATCAGTGAGTGCTAGGCTTAACGTGCGCATGGCTACAATGGAATAGACGGTTTAAAACCTCTCTTAAGACGATGAAAATCAGTCAATCGATCCAGCATCAATCAATCAATCAAACAACCAACTAAAATGGATCAATCAGTAAATAAAATAAACCAATCGATTAATAAGTCGATCGCTCAATCAATCAATCAATCAATCAATCAATCAATCAATCAATCAATCAATCAATCGAACAATCAATCAATCAATCAATCAATCTTTCAATCACTTCATTTGTTCGTTTATTTATTCATTCCTAAATTAATTCAACATTAGTAAATATTCTCATAAGTAGTCGTTAATTTTCTTTCAGAGAGCAACAGTTGTCTATCATCTTCTTCAGCGCATTACATTGTACGCTCAATGGTTGGAGCGTGAAGTAATATCAAGCTGTGTTTCAACCAGTGCCACTTACTTAAAAGACTATTTAACTAGTTTTAAAAGTATTGGTATTGAATATGTAAATATGCTATTATAATTACCATTGTATACCGTATGTTGTATAGGCCTAACTATATCGCATAAACTAACGAAAACTTTAACAATCAAAATATTGTTATATTTCTAAACAGATGGATAACCATACTAACGGATGTCAGATACAAAGCAACACACAACTTTACGGATGTTTACAAGAAAATGTAAGCAAAATTTTTCCTTTGACGTCATTATGTGCAGTGAATTACTTAGGGTGCACTAGCTAAAAATACACCCCCCCCCCCACACACACACACAAATAAAGATACTAATATTATTTATAATATAAAACACACATAATCAGATGCTTTTAATTGATACACGAAAAAGGTATACATAATATGGTATGTATAATATATATGCCTACTCCATTTGTGTAAATACATAATATGTAGGCATATATATATACACACATATATATATCTGTCTCTTATACACATCTAGATGTGTATAAGAGACAGGTGGATTTTATACGTGCCACAGATATTAGTTCATATCATTAATAGGCAGATGTGTATAAGAGACAGTGGTCGCACGTTCGAATCGGAGACATGTTTTACACAAAATTAAAGAACTTTTTCTTTAATGGGCTATGCCTGATAAAATTCGGTAAATTAAAAATCCTAATATTATTTTCCTGATTTAATTTTCCTTTCCAGATCGTCCCCAGCAACATGGTAGACGAGTCGGACTATTTGATTGTTCTTTGGAATCTATATCATTTTTTGTATCACCTCAAGAATCAAATTGAACAGCTATGATAAAAAGTATTTTAAGTCATATTTAAGTCTACTTATAAACCTGTACCAGAAGTTACTTTTATGATGATATCAATAAAGGTTCATATACAAATTTTAGCTGGTAAATCATCATGGTAAATGTGATAATATATATTTTTAAAAACCTGTATTCTTCAATAATGTAACACTACCTCTTCTGGTATGAACGGTTTTAAAGCTCATTTAACAGTAAAAGACTCGACAGTTGAATGAAATGTACCGTACTCTTGCTTCACAATTAATGTAGGCCTAGGCCTA